CCCCAAGGGCTTCGTCGACCCCAACACCCCCGAGACCCGCACCTACCTGCAGCTGCTGCGCCGCTGCGTGCCCGACCCGGACACGGGTCTTTATTTCCTCAATATTTTTAGAAAATAATTTTAAGACTTTTTGTGCTTATGTTTTTGTTTTGCCTTTGTTAAAAATTCTGCTATTGTGAATAGCTCTTTTGCCGATGGCATTTTTCTTTCTTTTTTTTGCATTCTTTTTTAAAAGTTCTCATTCCTTTCATAGAATTTCCTTCTTGCTCTCTTTCCATTTCAGTCACTGACCCCCATCAGTTTTGTCTTTTCAGGGACTCCTCCGAGCGCTGCGCTATTTCGTATTACACCTTTGTCTTCTCCAGCCTTTCAAGAAGGCAGGAATCAGCCCGGGTTATCCCAGGGCATTTCGGTGAAATATGTTGTCCTCATTTCCCTCACCCAGGTTTAAATGCAAATAAGCCTTCACTGGCGTACAGGTTGTACCGAGAATGGTATTTTTATTCTCCTCCCAGTCTCTTTTCTTGTGCACGAAGAACATTTTCTGCTAGCAGATTTGCAGGGCAGGATTAGAATTGCAGGTTTTCAAGCCCGAATTTTCATGGAGAGCAGATTTCCATGTAGGCACTACCTCAGGCTGGTGCTCAGTGTTAGCGGAGCGGGTGAGTCGCCTGCGTTTGCTCTTCATGCCTCAGCCCTTCTAGTTTTCCTGGGGGTATCTGGATGTGATTCCCCCTCAGCTTGGAGCAGTTTGTCTCTCGCTGATGTCCTCGCTCACCTTTTCCTCTGTTGGCCGGGGACATCCGCTCCTCCAGCTGGACACCCAGGATCAGGGCTGAATGACTCCACTACTGCTTAATTGTGGGGAACTCACTCTCCTTAAATGCATCCCCTCGGGCTATTTGTCTTAATTAACCATGTGATGTCCTGGAAATCGGATTTTTTTGGACAACTGGTAGCTGGAAGTGAGCATAGAGAACTCCTTAGCGTAACAACAAATTTGTGTGGGCTCGAAAAGCCATCAGGCAAATTAACGGGCGAGAGGTCTGCTGAGGGCTCTGCAGTGCAAAGACCCACCTCAGTCTCCGGAGGGAGACTCAGCCTCAGGGACCAGACAACGGAAGGGACGGTCGGGGAGGTGCAGTCATGGGTTTGCACTTCTCTTTCAGTCTCTGGTTCCACACCTCTCAACCTCCACCACGCTCTTTGTCTGATGTCCAAGTGTCCCCTTTCCCAGCCTTCTTGCCCCTGAGCTCGTTCCTGGCTTTGCTCAGGAGACCCATCAATGCCTGTGGAGCAGGACGGACAGTTCCAGCTGTGGCACTGGACAAAGCTGGCTGCAGCATCATGGAGACCCCACCATCTGCCCTGGGCTGGTATAACTATGACTGTCCTGCCACCAGCATGGGGAAGCACCAGAAATGCCACGATTTACCTGAAGGGTGAGAGTGTATTGGGTAAATGTTGCACCTCTCGAACCTCACCATGCTCTGTGCTTCTTCCCACATGGCGACACCATCCCTGGGTGAGGCAGACTCCCACGTCAACCAAGAGGCTTCGTATTTGTCCTCTAGACTTCTGCTCTTTCTTGGAATTGGGTTAGAAAATGCTTTAGCAAATGCAGGGAAAGTGGCCAAGCTGCCTGGCACACGTTCCAGCCTCGCGCTCTCTCTGAGCTCGGAGCCCTGTGAGCTGCTCTGGGCAAGAGGGCTCGTTACAAGCGACACGAGGTGAAGGACAAGCTGGATGGGCTCCTGCTGTTCCTGCGCTCCTGCCCTCGTCCTGCCTCCTCTCTTTCAGTCTCTGGTTCCACACCTCTCAGCCTCCACCACGCTCTTTGTCTGATGTCCAAGTGTCCCCTTTTCCAGCCTTCTTGCCCCTGAGCTCTTTCCTGGCTTTGCTCAGGAGACCCGTCAATGCCAGTGGAGCAGGACGGACAGTTCCAGCTGTAGTTTAACCCTTTCCCTTCCCAAGGTCTCTCTTCTGGTGATAAGACCTTCCTGATAGCTCCTCCATGCTTGTATTAAACCCAACCACTCTGAGGCCATCCCTTGAGAGGCCCTTTGGTCTTACTCATCCAGCCAAAACCCATTTAGCTAAACCTATCTCAATGCCAGTGGCTTATTTCTCGTATATGTAAGAGAAAACGAATCAAGAGGAAAACTCTTGTTCTCAGTGTCCCAGGCCTGGGCCTTAGAGGATTGCCGGCCAACGGTCAGCCCCTCCAAGCGTGTCTGTCCTCACCGTGTGGACTCACAACAAGATCAGGAGGCAGAGGAGGGCTGCACGAGATGAGAAGCACGCACTGATAGGAAGGGAAGACGGGGCAGGGTCTCGCAGCACAGCCCCAGCACCGAAGCTTGGCTGCAGGAGCTCCCACGGTCCACGTGGGAGCAGCTCAGGGCTCTCCTCGACGGGTTGCTGGCACTGAGGGGTCACCCTGAAGCTGGAGCATCCTTCCTGGGTGGCACCTAGAGGTGGTGGCCACAGAGCAGGTGCAGGAGCAGCATGGTTAAAGGGAATTAGTTCTTCCACGGGCAGAAGAGCAGGGGTCCCATGGCCATAGGGGCCATCACAGCTCACTTGAGGAGTCGTGGTGGACAACACACACATAAACAGCCAGGAGCTAGCTGGATCTGTAAGAAATTCTTGCCCCAGACCAGGCAACGAAGCCCAACAGGAATGTGGTGGTGATGATGGTCCTCCCTGATGAGGGACCCAGAGCGTGAACTGAGGCAAAACAAACTTCAGGGCTTATGATCCGGAGCCACATCGTGACTCACCTGTGGGGTGGAGGTTTCTGGAAAGGGTCTGAAGTGCTGAGACCATGGACTCACCCAGGAGAAGACGGAGAGAAGAGGCTCTGGCACTGAAATCTAAGCGTCGGGCAGAGAGATGAAAGTCAGGCCAGCTACGAACCGGTCTGGGATACCACGGGGAGATCAGGCAGTAAAGCAAAGACATGAATTCACAAAATGGGCCTCAGAAGCTGGGAAGATGTCGTCGTAAAAGTTGTGCATCTCCAGGCAAAGGAGAGGCCAAACTCCATTAAGACAGTGAAAACCATCATGCAGAAATGGAAGAGGGAAGGGCAGTCTGAGGAAGCAGAATCCTGTTTAAACACAGTTCAGAAAAAAGTAGAGGGCTGGGAAGCAGCGATGGAGCAGATGGTCTTAAATTATTCAGTTCAGCACAGAAAAGTGCCAGCTGAAAACGCTGCTGGAGGAATGAGCAGCACAGAGCAACAGGCATAAAACCAGGAGGTCGTGTTGGGGGGAGGTAAATGGGAAGGAGAAACCCCAGTGTCCTCACACCCAGCCCTGGGCTGCTACAGGTCGGCAGCCAGAGCAATGCGGAATCATAGAACCACAAAATCATTCGGGGTGGAGAAAACCTCCAAGATCATCCAGTCCAACCATCAGCCCAACCCCACCATGACCACTAAGCCATGTCCCCAAGTGCCACGTCAACATGGTTTTTGAGCATGTCTGGGGACAGCGACTCCACTCCTGCCCTGGGCAGCCCGTTCCAGTGTCTCACCACTCGTTCAGGAGAGAAATTCTTCCCAATATCCAACCTGAACCTGCCCTGGAGCAACCTGAGGCCGTTTCCTCTCGTCCCATTGCTTGTTCCTTGACCAGACCGACCCCCCCTGGCTGCCCCCTCCTACCAGGGAGCTGCAGAGAGCGATGGGGTCTCCCCTCAGCCTCCTCTGCTCCAGCTGAACAAGGAGAGCGCTGCTCCTCCGAGGGTGTCTGGTCAAAGGAGCCATCACCCAGAGCACACAGCAGCAAACCTGGTCCATGACTGACATGGGAGGTGGTGACAGGAGCAAACCTGGCCAGTGGCACCCACCTGCCAGGGGTGTGTGGAGCCAGAGGATGCTGATCTTTTCTGTTGATGAGATGACAGTGGGACGGAAGGAGGCAATTATTAGTGATAACAAGGACAATAACCAGTAACAAGCCTGGTCCGTGGTTCTAACTGATGGGCTGTCAAGAAATTGCAGGCACACCAGGACTCGGCTGCTGGCATGGATGTAACCCTGGGGGTCTTCACATGAGCACCTGGAGGACCTGGTGTCCCATGAAGGGTCTGGAATTTCTTTCCTACAAGGAGAGGCTGAGAGAGCTGGGACTGTGTCCTGGAGAAGGCTCAGGGGATCTCATCAACACACATGAACACCTGAAGGGAGGGAGTAAAGAAGACAGAGCCAGGCTGCTGTCAGCAGTGCCCAGCAACGGGACCAGAGGCAAGACAGGACAAGACATTCCCTCTGAACATCAGGAAACACTTTTTTACCGTGAAGGTGGTCAAACAGTGGCACAGACTGCCCAGAGACATTGCAGAGCCTCTATCCTTGGAAATGCTCAAAACCCAACTGGACACGGTCCTGAGCAGCACCTCCGGCTGGTTGTGGCTGATGCTGCTTTAAGCAGGGGAGGTGGATCTCCGGAGGTCCCTTCCCTCCCTTTGGAGATGATCAGCACTGACTGAACACAGTCCTGAGCAGTCAGATCGGACGGGACCTGCTTCGAGTTGGGCCAGAGCCTCTGAAGGTCCCTTCCAACCTCAGTTACTCCATGATCCCCATTTTCTGTCATGTTTTCCTCTAAGAGAGCAGAGTGACTCCAGCCTCTCCACGTCACGGGCCCGTCACCAGGGCCCATACCTTCCAGCCCAAGCATGGAAACACCCTTGTCACTCCAGGACATGCCACAGCCTCACCCGGCCACCTTGTCCTCCACTGGTGGACCAGCATGGGCCTGCTCATCCCCCTGAGCAGCGCCTGGCAACAGGCACTCCATCCAGCAACACGCCCAGGCAGTCATTTTCGTTTATTATGGGTAATTAGACACCAAAGCTGCGTAGATGAGCATCACGCCCACCTTCCTGCCACAGCCTGCTTCAGGCTGGAGGGACCCAGAAAGTTTTACCCGGGCCCTGGAGGATCCCAGAAAGTTTTATCCGGGCCCTGGAGGGTCCCAGAAGGTTTTAC